TCCCCGGCGGGCGTTACCGGCTGTAGGCGCGTTATCAAGCGTGAGGGGCCTTTTATCCTTTGAGCTCTTTAATTAAAGATTGGGCTCCGTTACAGAAGGGATTTTGGTGGATGCGTTTTGGGTCTCAAATCGGGAGTAAGGGCGCAGAAGTCTTCTACGGACCAGGGAACGAGCGAGTCGGGGTGAATTTTTAAGAAGCGTTTCACGTGTAGCGCCAGAACTGCTACTACCTCAGAGCCCTCCTCCAGCAAAAGTGAACTTACAGCTTCATTACAAATCCATCGGCTTCAGTAAAAATCTCACTGTTGACAGGAAGTAAAGGAAAGGCAAGCTTTTCGGTATATTACACGTTAGAATACATTTCTGTTCTCGGTCGAGAAGGTCCTTATCTATTCTTGAATTAGAGGAGCAAAGCCCCAAGAGAGTTTCGAGACTGCGGTCCGCATATGTTCAACAGCAAGTTATACATTATACCTCTGTTGAAGGTACAGAGCAACCGTGACTACCAGTCTTTGTCATTGCTACCTACCTGGTTGCATGCTTAAAATTCACTATTAAAAATCAGCGTGAAAGCAAATGTAACAGTAAAGGTTGTTTTTTTCTTTTTAATTAAAGTTTTTGCCCAAATTTTCACTTGCTTGCAGTTTTGGCATCACGTGGCTGGGAGCAGCCTTGCGGGGCTTGTAACAGAAACCACTGTTATGTTTGGAAGCCTGACTCAGTTCCTGGAAATACTTATTTGTCCAGTGGGACTCACTGTGGGAACGCAGCCCCTGCTGGCACAGAAGTCTGTGCTATGCCTATGGGCTGGCTGTTCCTTTTCCAGCTGCTAAATACAAACAGGCCCTCCAGTCCTCTCTCTGTCTTTCATGCAAAGTCTAATCAGTGGAGTTTCCAGCTGCCTGATGTCGTCAGTCCTAAAGCACAGAGCTAGACCAGGCTACGCAGAGGGGACGGTGTCCGTGCTGGGAGGAGCACCAGGGGACCCCAGGCATCCCCCGCTAAGCTGAAGTGCATCGGTTGCCACTCTCTGGGCTACGTTCCTAAGTGTCCCTGTGCTTATTCCTGTTGCTTCTCCTGAGCGAGGAAAAACTGAAGTAATCAGATTTTTGTGGATATCAGTGCATCAGCAGCTGATCTGGGACAAACTTAGGGCACTCTGTTGCTCACTTTCCCCAGTTGTTTATATACCTCTGTGCTAAACACTCAGTTTACTCATTATATAGATGAGTAAAATGTTATATAACTGTAGTAAATTCTATCTCTGTGAGCCGTAAAATGATACAATGAATTATATTGAATAGTTTATGAAGAAAACCTTTGTAGCATGCAAATATTTAACCTTGCTGCCTCTGCAAGATACTATCCGATTCTTTTCCTTAACTGTTACGTGGAGCCGAGTTCAACACTTCTGTAAGGTCTGGGAAGGAAAGTGTGTGTCTCCAGGACTTCTGCAGAATCTTTACGCATATAACTTGAAATTTGAAATATAAACTAAAAGTATAGATTTACTTTCCAGGCTCCAGATCAAGAAGATGATAGCTACCGTGTGGGAGGCCTAAGAGCCATTAACATCTATGAAAACAACAGTAGTGTTGTTTAGCTTATTAACTAATTGACTATTAATTGAACCTTTTACTCATATAACACTAGCCTGAGTGATCATAACAACACTTTGTTTTCAGTGTGAGTAAGGAGGCTTCAATATGGATAATAATATTTACAGAGAGTTGTAAAGTTTTGGAAGTAACAGGCAGAAACCGTGTTCTGAAAATCATTTCCTGCTACAACAGAGTTGTTTCCCTGAGAAGCTCTTGCTTATACAGAAGGCAAGATGGACTGCTTGACTGAGTTATTCTTAAGTAAAATAAACTGTTGGAGATGGTTTAAGAGGCGTTCTTGTGGGTTGTGTCAAGTTATGCTAAAGCATGGAATTATGTTGTCCAAACTCAAACTACATTTGATATTTTGTGGGAGGGACTATACCATAAGCTATTCAAGTGGCACTTAACATTGTAAGAGGAGACCTTTAAACAAGTTCAGAACCTAAGGATAAAAAAGCTAAGGAATTTAAATCCTTCAAATCATTATAGACCCTATAATTTGAATTTTAAAGGGATATGTGCTCCTCAGAGCTGTGAATGTACTCCTTAGTCAAGGAAAGTCTTATCCTTGCTACAGGTGATGAAAGCGTTCAGTAAGATGCAAGACCTTGCTAGTTTAGGGAATGCTTAAAATGTGAATGCTTACTTATACTAAGTTCAGTTTGTGTGCCTGCTTAATAATCTCTTCATCCACATTACAGCAGCTATGAATTGTGTAAAATATATATAATGTATATAATTCTCTGTATAATGCACGTTCTATATTTAAGTTTCAAAGCCTAGCAAATCCACAGTGCATTAAGGATACAAAAAAATAAACATTAGTGTATGGCAATTCATCAGTACTGTTTTGTTGCTCATTTTACAGGTAGGCTGTCACCAAACAGTTTAACTATGTGTTCTCCGTGCCTCTGGAATCATGCTAATTAAATATTACTTCTGTTCAAATACACCAGATGCACCTATGCACATAAATTACAAGTGGTGTTAACCGCATTTTAGGACCTCATTGTGCTTCGCACAAATATCTGGATCTTCATAGGAGCTCTTATTGTCCTCTGGGAAGAAGAGAAGGTGCAGAAGTTTTTAAAAAGGAAAATATATTTCTGAGGGAATCATTAAAGGATGAACAAGCACGATTGTAATTAGAATTACCTTCTAAGGCTGCATATAGTTGACAATGAGAGAGCCACAAAAAAAACCTTCAGACCACTGGAACAAGCCACACTGTAAGTTTCTGGTGAGCAAAGGATAACCAAACTCTGGCAAAAAAAAACCAAACAAACAAACCTGCATTGGCCTCAGATCCTAAAAACCTGGAAGAACTAAAAAGAAGAAACCAATTTTTAGACCTACCCTGCCAGCCCTTGGGTAGGATTTCAGCAGTTAAGTACCTTTATTTGATTCACTAGCCATGCCTGCAGTATACACACAGGTGGTATTTCATAACAGCAGTGTCCTTTTATGTGAACAGCTAATTGAAAATTCAGGCTTATAGGCCTAAAATTCAAAGTTGCTTCCTTTATTTCTGGGTTTATCCATTCCTGGATGATAGACTTGGACAGAACCTCTCCTACGCTATGTTATCTTCATTTGTTAGGATATGAGAACTTGAAGAGCCATTGTAGAAATGCAAGAGCTGTCGTCAGTGTCTTTCTTCTGTACGATATGATGACAATTGTTTAATCACTGCTGGCAGCCCCTTTTGGGATGCTGGAGTACTTAAGTTTTTATTCTAATAGGATGCCATGCTGTTGAAACTTCTATTATAACGCTGGTACCATCCTCATTAGTTAGCAGCAATAGTGTCTTATAAGAGTTTTCAGGCGGGGTAGACCAATACAGAAAAAACTCTGGAAATCCTAAATGATGATCTGGAAACTTCTACAATGAGGTTTTTCTTCCTTATCCATATTACACAGTCATTTCTCAAAGTAGGCCACCTAAAATAAGTCCTGTAGGAAAAGAGCAGAGTCCAGTGAAACTCCGCAAACCTGTGCATGTTCTAGCAGATGACCACTGATGGCAGAAAGAAAATGCAGGCTGAACAGTGGAAATTGGTACTTAACAATTTTGTCATAAGATGAGATAACTGCTTAATGGATTAACATCATCCAGAACAGACTTCTGGTGGACTAATGCAGTCCAGCCAGGTTCTTTTTGTACTGGGAGAACAAGCTGTTACCGCTTTTCTTTCCCACACACCTTGCAATGCAATGGGACGAGTCCCCCAGACGCTAAGGGGACTCTCACTCTGCACTTGGTTTCTACTTGATCTCTCAGTTCACAAGAGGTCACTG